AAATAATTTTATTCAGCATAGATGCATTAAATTGATCAAAAGTGCCAGTAAAGACATTTATGTTACAAAAGATTTCTATTTCAAACAAATGCTGTTTTTTAAACTTTCTATTCAGCAAATAATCTTATAAAAAATATATATAAATCACAGTTTCCACAAAAATATGTTTTCAACATTGATAATAACAAGAAATGTTTCTTGAGCAGCAAATCATCATTCTTTGTCTGTCCACAGTTCAGAACCATGTCATCTCTAGTAGTCCTGACCTCAAGAATAATCATGAATCCTGACACATCAATTAAAAATGGTCCAATTATCTCTCTATCACACTAGACACTAGTCAATCAATGATGGGTGAATTGAGAAAATGTACTGGTCATATATAAATAATTATTATATTATAAATGAAAAATATATATTTTGATTATAAATTGAAAGCATTAGCTGTCTGATGCATGGCAGTTGAAATCAAATACTCCTACTGCACCATAAGCTCTGTTATCAGCTCAGACTTTAAGATTACATCCATTCCGCTTTTTCAAGTGACTATAAAGATGCAGAAATAGACCTGAACTAAAAATACTGTCAGTAAACAAACTCTGTTCTAATTCCCATGAGGCCTGTGAATCTGGGGTAATCTACCGCTTAGTATTTGTGCCCCGCAATAATGAATCAGATTCTGAAATAGCCAATTAGCTCACTGCAACACTGGCTTATTGTGTGCATGTGTGTGTGCGTCAGTTGTCTGAATGAGCTTGACTCGACGCTTACTCACAGTGTCCTTTCCATCAACGAAAAACTATGAAGGAAAATCACGAGCTGGCAACTATGAGTTGAAATAACGTACTTTCCACTATTTACCTTCTTTAACCATTTACTAGAAACATTAAGCCCTGCTTTGAGTTCACAGGAGTAACTCGTTCATTATACAAGAATGACCTTCTATACAGTAAAGGCAGCCAAAATAAAATGAAGTTATTATATTATTAAGGGTTCACATGATCCCGCCTCTCTAAAAGAGAATACGCCTGTTGGCCATTAGTACGAGCACCTTGTCACGTCCCACTGCAGAAACCCACTCGTGACCAACCAGTCTCACAGTGCCTTCCTGACAGGGCACTTTACAACATTTCCCACCACACCCCCATTGCAAATAATGTTGCTATGGTTACCGTTCTGCCTCACTCCTGCACTACTGTGACAAAGCTGCAGTGGGTGGAGCTATGCAAAGGTTACACAAGAAAGTCACATTGCACTTGATAGCACAAGCTAAACAATGGAAATGCAATAACATGCTGTCTTTGATAAGCATATTTTTATGAATTTACGTGCAGCATAATAGCACGATTACATAAGAAAATATGAAGTGTCCTACAAACTGATCTGTTAAATTCTCATTAAAGTTTCAAATGAGATAAAGCTGGATTCAACTGGATATTTGCATTACAAATTACTGGGAATATACTGTATGCTCTGTTCCCAGATATAGTGAGCATGTCCCTGACGTGAAACTTGGTACACAAGTTCTGAAAATGATCAAATATATAGTCTCTCATCAGTATCTCTTCAGTGTCGCATGATCCTTCAAAAATCATTCTAATATGCTGATTTGCTTCTCAAGAACATTTCTGATTATTATCAATGTTGAAAACAGTTCATATTTTTGTGGAAACCCTGATATATTTTATTAAAGATACTTAGATGAATAGAAAGTTCCTAAGAACAGCATTTATTTGAATTCTTCTGTAACAAACATTTACTGTTACTTTTGATCAATTTAATGCATCCTTTCTGAATAAATAAAAATAATTTCTTTCAAAAAAAAAAATATTACTGACCCCAAATGTTTGAAAGGCAGTGCATATTTAAAAATATATTAAAAACAGTACTTTTTGTAAGAAGCTTGTAATGTAAGTAGCTTGACTGTCATTTAACTAGTGGTTAGTAGCTTCCCCAATACTAGTTACCACTGTTACATAGCCAAGCTTAAGTTGTAGTGCAGGTATTTGATTCTCTGCTGTCCATGTGACTAAGTGCTGCTTTTACCTGTCTTCACCCCACACAGGGTTCACACATGTAATGAGAAGCACTAAAGAAAGCGGGTCTCACCTTTCCTGTTGACTTCACCCCCTTCCACACACAGAAGTAAACCATCACCCACACAGCCATAAGACACAGCATCAGTTCCCAGTTTATGACTCCTGGCTCATCCAGCCCATCAGAGATGTTCAGAACCTTGTTCCTGAGATGGAGAAAGACATTCATGAATGAAAGCACTGTATAACGCTCATTTTAATCTATAAACTCATACGTAGCTTGAAAGTGATGACTTTCCAGAGCTGTATAGTCTACTGTCACTCGTGACTTTAAAACTAACCATGAGCCACTTTGTCAACAGATGATCTTCAAATCGGAGATTTCACTTTGAATAACCAATAATATGAAATGCTTACTGCAGATTCAAAAATCTTGTACACAGATTCTAGATTGTACTGGGAGCACAACATGAGCAAATGTAATGCCACAGGTTCATAACGGAAAGCAAATGATGTGTCTATTGATGTGGGCTTAATAACAGTTAACCGTAACATAACATCAAGAAAAGCACATCATATTTTAACAACCAAAATACATTCATCTTGTCAAGAGTTGTTATATACCACCCACTTTTCTTATGTAAAAGTGGGTGGTGAAAGGCATTTCAAATATTGTTTGTGTAAGGAATGAAGTGCGTAAAAACCGATCACTCACTCCCAGAATTCAATAATAGGGGAACGCCCATTAGCAAGCTCTTCGCACGTCAGGTTCCCAAATGTGGAGTTGCCAATGGTGCCATTTTGGCAGTCGTCGTGGCGGAAAGTCTCTATGCAGTTTTCGGTGTTCCACGGGTTGTCGCAGGTGGACCAGGGCAGCGTGGAATTGAAAGACTTTATGAAGTAGTAGAAACCCCAGGCAAGTACCATGATGTAGTACGTGTTACAGAAAAACACAATCACCATGGAGGCATAGCCAAGTCCTAAAACAAACCGGTAAAAGATCATTGAAAATCAACCCCCTCAGGTGTAACGTAAAGTGCTGATGAATCATGCATGAATTGAGGCAGTAAATAGAGCCAAATTTGATTTCTTGTTGTCTTTGATAGAATAAAGCAAGGATATACTGAAGGGCATTCATTGAAGTTATATATTGTCCTTATAACGTATTTGTACCCTTTTTTGTGATACAATATGTATATAATTTTGAAACATATCAGAAAACAAAGTCAAGGTATTATGTGATATGGATACTGTGTATAGATGATATTAGATGACATCAACACATTATATGGCTTAATTCTGATTTAAAAAAAAGTGTTTGTGTGTGTGTGTGTGTATATATATATATATATATATATATATATATATAAATAATAAAATATATATATATATAATATAAAAAATGCTAAATTACAATATATTAATGTATTAATAATAAAATAAAATATAATAAAATATAATACTTAAAAAAATAAGGAATGCATGTTTTAAAGAATGCTGTTTTAAAGGACAACCTAAAATAGTATCACAGCTTAAAAAGTAAGGTAATGCATAAACATGAAAAGCAAACCTTTAAAAAGAGGTGCAATGTTCCACACATTGATGCTTCCAGCCTTCATAAACTGACCCAGCGCAATCTCCAGGAAGAATATCGGAATGCCTCCCAGAAATATGAACAACACATAGGGAATGAGGAACACTCCTGTGAAACACAGCAATAGAGACAGACAGAGAGCAATGTTAAAGACAACATGGAACGACATTCACAACCCATGTTAGGTGTGATGCATTTCTGAGCAAAATGAGATATTTGACAAGAGTTGCATTTTGATAAAAGATTAGGAATAATTGTTGAAATTAAATGCATTGATGAATCGATCAGCAACATGTTTTAAAGTGAACAGGCTCAATTTTGAAGGTTCAACACTTGATATGATTGGCAAAGGATTGCATTTTGCATTCATTCTAGTCACAAGGTCTCATAAAGTACCAATGCCCAATAAAATTATAACTAGAAACATAAACTGAGGTCTCATGATGCATACAATGTCAATTAACCTCAAAAGACATTAATGCATTTTGCATTTTACACATCTTCAAAGTTAATTTTAACTGAGGGAATTATCTGCTATTTGTGCATGACACCTTCACATGCTGGCACGTCACTTCGGATTTGAGTGCCGCTGGCCGCATTAGCATTTATCATGCGGTCAGCACACTGATGCGTCGGCAGCAATAAACCTTCACTCTACTGATCTGAGATTGACAGCCACAGTAGAGGCTTAGAGAGGGGGTTGGTCGCCGGTGTGATGCAGATTATCCACTGAATACGTGCTGGCGTGTTCAATGAAAGTCTTGATGATGTCACCTGCCACTCATGGGCGAGGTGGACTGCGGGGGAGGATGGCCACATGTGAAAAGGAAAAATACAATGGAGAAAAAAAAGGCAGAGTGGAAAACCGGCATGCCGTTATTCAAAGTGACACGCTTACGTAACGCTAGCTCTGCAGGCTAGCGGCTACACAGCTGATTTAGAACGAATGCAAGTGAGATAATCTAAAAAAATACAACCAAAACAACCCCTGCTGCTAATTTAAAAACACTGATATGAATGAATTGGCTTATTTGGGAGCACTGCTCAGTCTACATTCAGAAAACAACAGCTTTTGTTGGACTCATGACTCAGAAAGAAGCCTTTTGATGAAGTGCCTACAGAAGGAAGCACCGAACACAATGTGCTGCACTAACCGTCCTGCCAAGCCATAACAAACAGCCACTAAACCGTGAGACTATTCCTCTGGGAAAAAAAGGAAAATATGCACATGTGGGCTTGTGTTGAGCTGATTTGCAAACTAAAAAGGATGCCACAGCAATGCCCTGCGAGCAGATGATGCATGAGAATGTGACTGCGGGTCAATGCGAGAACACGTACACACGCTAGAGCGGAATGAGAACAAGTGTGACTCACACACACACACACACACAGTCTTGCACGTACTGCAGTGGCTGACGTCGTGAGCGTGGAGCACTTGATTCTGTATCAGCGGGTGCTCATTACAGACTTTCAGAAAAGTGAGGAATCTTTTCAGCTCTTTCTCTTCCAGTGCATAAGAGCTGGCGTTTCATTGCTAATGGCGTCTACTCAAAAAGGAAGTAGATACAGCAGAGGTACAATGTATCAAAGAACATTATTTGACACATATTATATAGATATTATATAGTGTCCCATTCACGGAGAGGGACACTATATGACAAAGCAAGGAGAACTTTTTCCACTTAAATGCTGTAATTCCGATTGCGATCTAATGTGTGTTTTGGCCATATAATGTTGCTGAAATATGTTATTTGTAGCTTATATCAGGCTAATCGCTACACCTGCTTAGCTTTTCTCATGTAAACACCCTGTATTATGAAAATAGGCAGAATCTCATGAAAATGACATAAATCATATACTGTTGTAACCGTGTGTTTATTAGGTTCATGTTTCATCCGTAGAAATGTTTTTCTGGGTTTCTTATTTACAGCACCGAACGCCGAAGTGTAATGGATGTTCATAATCAGAAACAGGGTGGGCAAGCAATCGCGGAAGAGAAAACAGGCAGAAAGCGCTGGATGCAGCTGCTCATCAGTAAATCAGTGGAAAATGAATAGAAATTATGATTCTTGCATTTTAAAACGAAAACACACCGGTGTAAATGCACCCTAAACGACGTGTAAAACTGTTTGAACTTTATTAAAACTATCTGCACAGATTTATTGTGTTGGTTACATTTTGTTCCTTTGTGCTTTTTTGTTCCTTTGTGCAGTGGCTCACGAGATCAGTCTTTGAGTCTGTAAAATCGTCAACAAGCTTGTTTTTTTTTGAGGTAATGTGTAATGTTATCTTAAAACAATTTCATAAAATTGGTATCGGAAAAAGTATCTTTCAGGAACTGGTATCGAAGTCAAGGTATCAGTATCGGTATCGGTCTCAATATCGAAAAAATGTTAACGATACCCAGCCCTACATGTATTAGACCATACCATCGCAAGTATATTTCAAACCTGTGGGAAGCAATGCAATCAGGCTTGTTCTAGCATGTTACAAATAATAAAAACATGCAAGGTGTGGCTCACGTTAAGAAAAACAAGAAGTGTTACACGACTGTGGTTTGCATGTTTTGAGGTATTAATCATGTCCATACCTAACTGTGCAAGAGGAAGTAGGTTATGCAATTTTCGTTCATAATACTTTCAGTTTTTCTACTTTCAAGATGTCATGTTTAATTCAATGTGTTACTTGAAATTTCTTTGTAATTATGAAATTTGAATATGAAATAGCAATTCCTGAGTGAACATTTTTCATGACACTAATTTTTTTTCCAATGTACTAGACTATTAAAATTCCAAATCAACAACTACTGTACATTTCCAGCATATTGAAATAACACAAAGATCAATTTACAGAGAATATGAATATACAATAGATGAACCTTAAAGCACCCATGGTTAGGCCCCAGTCAGAAAAAGGGGATTAAAAGATTAACAGACGCTCTTCTTAATCGCCCGTCCACGTGGAACGAGGAACTGATGTCAGTCAGGCAAGAAGCCAACATGTCCTGCTGTGTTGGCATCACTGAATGTTGCCTTCCCATTCAGAACCAGACACATTACACAGTGCTCAATTTAAAATGTAATTTGAATATAGACATTTTAAAATAATCCATTTTGTAGGGTTATTAATGTTGGAAATTAAATTTAGTCAAAATTTGGCCATGTTGATGTGCCTCAAGAGTAGAAATACACATGCAACTGGATAAAAAGTGTAAATGATTTGCAACCTAAAAATATATATACATATAGAATTACTTACAATATATATTTTTAACTTCTTGACTCATTTATATACTGTGTGTGTGTGTGTATATCAAGTCAAGTCATCTGCGGTTATATGTGCTTTATACAATACCTCATTCATTGCGATTCGATTCGATTACCAATTCGATTCGATTCAATATAAATTATTTACAGTACATGCCAAATTTTCTCAAGGAAAAAAATCTCTTAACTAATGCTGTAAAATATACATGAGTCAGTTGGTACTACATTACTATAATACTGAAGGTTAAAATTAACTGATTTGTTAAAATTTCACTTAATGAAGTTTTTAAAATAATAAAGTTACTATTACATAATAATATTCCTACTACAATTTTTTTTAAATATAAACAATGTTGGCTGTCATAAAATCTTATGAATTAAACATAAAATTAAACATTGAAGAACAGTAAAACTTATAATGAATATGTTATATGGTGCATATATTTAGCAAAATGCCCCTCTCTACAGTTTATTTTTCTATCTGACTAATGAGTTTATGGTCACCAAATATGTTTTTCTGAGGTAAATGTGACGTTACGTGACATTGTTTACAAGACGACTTCTCTGCGCGGCTGAAACACTTATTGAGCGATTACATGAGACAGGATACGGATTGTAAAGTTGTACTCTTTCTTTTAACTTACCTTCGGATGTTTAGTCATGTTTATTTTGTGCTGAATATATATATATATATATATATATATAGTTTGCATAATAGGACTAGGTGTTATAATACCAATATTCAGCACCAGTTAGCCGCACCATAGAAAATTTTTTCCTTCTCTGTGAGGAGAACACAGCGAGATGCTCAATTGTTACGCTCTGATATTGGTTCAGCAAGAATCCAGGATCATGGCCTAATGCTATGTCCTTTTTTCTTGCCTCCATACCCAATAATCAGTTGTGAATTTACAATTGCTTTACGCGTGACTGGGGAACAGTGAGATAAAGGACTAGTATGGTAAGATGGATAGATGAAGACGGTACAACTCTTCACTGCAGTCATCGGGTGGGGATCCTTGACGTTTTGATGAGATGTGATGCTGTACATGATGTGTACTTATCTTTCATGGATGTTGCCACTGAGACACCTTATCCGATGTCCATCAGATCCCAGTTTCTGTGTGAACTTTAGCCTGGGTGAAAGATGCCTTTTGTTGAGATGATGTTGCCAATGACTTTTTTTTATGGTGTTTCCACCAATGCAACACATCATCAGTTGTGTGTATATATAGCATATGCTGTTCTGTATGCATATGCTGTAAATGCAATATGGTATCACATTCCTTAAAATGTGACTTTCTCTACAAACAAAAAATTTTAATACCAGGATGATGTGTGCTGAAGCACAATAACAATAGCAGATTGTTATTAAAAAGCGTCACAGCGATAATACTTGAGTACGGGGAGATTTCAGCACGGCTGTGATCCTGTACTGCAGATCCAGCACTCAAGGACAGGTAGAGGGCTTTACTGCAGAGATCATAAATCTACCGACTATGTGGCCATCATTCTGTTCAGCGTGGCCTCTCTTAACTCTGATGCACCGCTACACAATGCGGCAAAAACAGCCAGTAACCTGGCAACAGAAAGTCTGGACTGTTACTGCGTCGCACAGTATTGTATAGGCTATGTGTTAGTGACAGCACAGTGTCAATCCCAACAGCTCAGTGAAAGATCTGTGACCTCAGATAGCACAGACAGAAGAGTGAGCAGCTCACTGAATTGAACGAAGAGCTGTATAAAGAAACAGATAAAGCAGTTAATGTGACCTCTGACCTCTACCATAAAGTCTTACAGTAGAGGCTGAGTGTTATCAAGTTACATGCTCTAAATTAATGC